TGTTCTTCCTTTTTGGTTTTTTGATTCCAGATCTGTGCACATTTTGGTGTAATATTTGGCTTTATCTTCTCTATCTGATCTTTGAAATTTTCTGTTCAGCTCTTGGACCTCCTCATTTCTTCCATTTGCTTTAGCATCTCTGTACTGGAGAGCAAGTTTCATTGTCTCTACTGACATCTCTTTTGACCTTTTCCTTCTTTCTTGTCTTCTTAATGACTTTGTTTTCTTCCTGTATGATGTTCTTGATGTCATCCCACACCTCTTCTGGTCTTCGGTCTTTTAGTGTTTAACATATCAAATCTGTTCTTCAGTTGATCTCTAAATTCAAGTGGGATATATTCAGGGTCATATTTTGGCTCTCATGGAATTGTTTCCATTTTTTCCAGTGTCAGTTTGAATTTGCATATGAGTAATTGATGGTCTTTTTCACAGTTTTCTCCTGGTCGTGTTTTCACTGATGATAAGGAGCTTTTCCATTGTCTCTTTCCACAGATGTAGTCAATTTGATTTCTGTGTATTCCTTCTGGTGAGGTCCGTGTTTATAGTCATCTCTTATGCTGTCTAAAGAAGGTATTTGAAATAAACAAATCAGTGGTTTTTCAGAATTCTGTCACCAAGGCCATATTTACCAACTACTGATCCCCAACCTTTGCATTCCAATCACTAGTAATGATCAGTACATCTTGTTTGCATGTTTGATTGATTTCAGATTGAAGAAGTTGGTAGAATGTATTTCATCCTCGCTGGCTTCAGTGGTTGGTGCGTAAATATGAATAATGTGGTATTAACTGGTCTTCTCTGTAGGCACATGGATATTTTCCTATCACAGACAGCGTTGTACCTCATGACTGATCTGGATATGTTCGTTTTGACAATGAATGCAACGCCATTCCTCTTCAATTTGTTATTCCCAGCACAGTAAACCATGTGGTTGTCAGATTCAGAGTGGCCAATACCAGTCCATTTCAGCTCACTAATGCCTAAGATATCAATGTTTACGCATTCCATTTCATTTTTGACAACCTCCAATTTTGCCAGATTCATACTTCGTGCATTCTGTGTTCCGATAGTCAGTGGATATTCACAGCTGTTTCTCTTCATTTTGAGTTGTGCCCTATCAGCAAATGAAGGTCCCATGGACTTTTCTCCCATGGGCTTTACTCCATTCATGGTAAACTCTACTTTGAGGAGGCAGCTCTTTCCCAGTCGCATTTTGAGTGCCTTCCAACCTGAGGGGCTCATTTTCCAGCACTATATCTGACAGTGTTTCTCTGCTATTCATAAGGTTTTCAGTGACTAAATATTCCAAAGTAGTTTGTCTCTCCTTCTGTCTAGTCTGTCTTTGTGTGGAAGTTCATCTGAAACCTATCCACCATGGGTGAGCCTGCTGGTATTTAAAATACTGGTGGCATAGCTTTCAGAATCATAGCAACTCACAAACCACCACAGTATGACAAACTGACAGACGAGTGGTGGGAGTAGGTGTTTGGTAAAAGCTAAATGAGTGGGGGGACAGGGATCTAGAAAGAATTGGCCTCCTGTCTGGCTCTCACCTCGTGCTACAGCGGTCTGGGGTGGGGCGGGGGTTCTACATGGGGGAGGCCCTTCGTTCCTGTAAGGCGGGCTTGGCAAAAAGTCAATGCTCCACAGACTTTTGTGTGAACACTTTAGTGAGCAGGGAGTGAACTCATGGGTGACAGAAGGCAGATAGCCATGAGGGTTCTGGGAAGAAAGGTGGCCCTAAGATTGAGTTGCTGGTTTCTAGAAATTTCTTTACACTCTGCACTTCTGTAGATGGGCTCTAGAGAGAAGACCAATCTAGTCAGGAATGTGGAGGTTTAAAGGCAGGGGCCCAGCATGTATCAGGAGGAAAGGATTGGATTCAGAGCTTCCCCTCAGAGATACCTGGCCAGCATGGTGGCTGGCCACCACGGCAGCAGGCCTAGTCAAACAGCTCAGTGTAAGGAGCAAAGATGCACTTTATTGAACAGGTCCTCCCTTGGCCTTTTCTGTAGCTGCTTCCTGAATCCATCTCTGTTGTGTTTTTTTAAACAGAGGTGCATGTTAGTAGCATCCAAAGGGTATGTTGCTTTGAATATGTCAAAGCCCCTTACAGGTTTGGGGGTTTGTGTTTTGTTTTTTTTCCTGGTGTGTTGAATCTCTGTGTCTGTTACCAAGAATCATTGTTTCCTGGAAGCCCAGCCTTCTTCCGCCGAAGAGCATCCTCTAAATTTGAGAGTTATGGGGCTGGCAAGCACAGCCACAAAGATGTGCAGGCAGACCTCTGGGACATCTCAGGTTTGGTTCCAGACCTCACAGTGACGCAGGGCACGGTGTTAGTTATGCTGTTCCTAGAGTGGAGTCTATATTATGTATACACTTGTTGCTGTGAAGTGCTTTCTAGTTGATTCCAATCCATAGTAACCCTGTAGGGTTTCAGAGGCTCATATTTCGCCTGCAGAGCAGCTGGTGGGCTTGAA